GGATATAGATGTAACAGGTACAGATACAAACATGGATATAGATGTAAACATAGAAATAGACATAGGTACAGATATAGACATAAGCATAGATATGGATATAGATGTAGAATATAGAGATGCCACCATCGCAGCAGCGCGTGGAGCATTAGTATCAGGATCAGGTTCAGTGCCTCGTTTCAGTCACAAGATGGAACGGATGGAGGATGAGACTAAAATCAGTGCGGCGTCCCTCTCTGTGCTGCTGCGAGTCTTCCTCGAAGTAGATCGCCGGACCCCAGACTACGTATCACCAGTAAGCATCGATGCAGAAACCACCTTTTCCGGGTGCCAATCCCTCGAACTCATCTCTATCGGGAATTGCCGAATTGACTGAGAACCAGTACATAGCGCAGAGTCGTTTCCCAAGCTCTTGGTCGTGAACTTCATGGCTCAACCTTGAATGCTGCATCAGGACGGCGTTAAGCTCGGACGCTGCAACTTCCAGCCCTTCGGCAGCCGCGCTGCTCAGCAACTTCTTCAGGCCATGCTCCTTTGTGCTGAAGAGCAACGTCCAGAGATGTCTTGGCACTCGAACAATACTAGTAGGGCTTCACTATGGTTTCCTGCATGCTGAGCTTCTAGACTTGGCAGTTAGCAACTAGTTACTAGTTAATATTAGTGAATGAACTGTGGCCGAGGTTCAGGTTTTGCCGCTGATTGTGTACATCGGGTTTGGGCAGACAGCATCAATTAGATTGGGCACCTGATGCTAGGAGTTCTTCGCATGAGCTTTGCTTTGAGAAAGAGCCTCAGATATGCTCAAGGCATCTGTGTTCCGATAGCACATGTGAGCGAACTTGCAAGAGGACTATCCTTGACCATAATCCTCGCGGAGGTTCTATAGCTTTTGTGCTTGTTTTTGGGATTTGGCAGGTGCCCGAGTCCTGAAACTAGTATCAGGGCCCATTGATGAACACCTGTGTCAGGACATCTTGGATGGCCGGAAGCTCAGAGCGTGTAAGCTTGCCCTCGCAGATATGCATGGCTTTTCGTGCACCCAAATGCCTTTTTAGGACCATCGACAATCGCGCCCCTTATCGCGTGCCGCAGAACAGAAGCCAGCGCTTGACCGCTGATCTTAGAGGCCTTAGACTTTGTCGCTCCCGGCCTCAAGCCAAGCCACCGGCCGGAACGTATCATTCCAATGGGCGGTGAACTTAGAAGTAAGAAGTACTTCACGGGAATCTCCCATCAAAATACTGTGTAAGAGCCTCGCCTAACGACCTGCGATGTTCCGGGCAAAGACCCGAGGCTACTTCCCATACGAGCTGAAAGAGGAGTACCCTGACGGTGTCATGCTCAAGGCCCACTTCTTCGGCCTTTCCTGAAGGGGGCCTTGAGTAGAACAGGGCTTGGGGATAGACGATACGGACTGTACTATAAGTCTGATAAGGCTCCTACGGCCCTACGGAATACTGTTAGTAATTATTCGGGCCCCTACATTAGTGTAGGTCTTAGGGTTGCCTTAACGGGGCTGCAGCCTACACCTCAGCTGGATGAGACGGCATGTCTCACCCAGTCCCAGCTGTTCGCAACCCAAACCATAAACCTTCTTCGCGCAAGGTGGTTGATCGAGTGGCGGTGACTTTCGCAGTATGGCAGAAGGCGCGGCCACGGAAGAGTTTGGGCTCAGGATCTTTCCTCGTGTGCATGGAGCAGCTCCCAGCCAGAATTAGCTTCCTTTTGACATCCTTGCCAGCTTTTGCTTCACTTTTCTGCCAGTGTGATTAAGTGAAGCACTCAGCAGATTTTGGGAGCTTTGGTTGCACACAATCGCATAACATCTTAGGCAGGGGTTTGGGGGAAGCAGGTGGAAGATCAGCATGGACATCTTACTTTTGTTGTGGTGTAACAAATGCCTCTGTTGTCAGAGGTTTTCTCGAACTTTATTCAGTAGAGGCATGGTGTCCCTTGCTCATTCTGGTTCAGGAGTATGCCAGCGCCGATCCCGCCTGTGACCTACTTTTCGACTCGCCCTTGCAGTACCGGGTCAGGTTTCGTTTTGTTTTTGGCATTTCTTTCGGGGCTCTTTAGAGCTGGCCTTACAGGACGGCAGGCAGTATATTTTTTTGAAAGTAGGATTGAATGGGTCTTACTACTACGCCGCCCCGGCCCTCCAAGAAAGAGTCACAGTTTAAGGTCCGGGGAATGTAGAACATAATCCTCAAGCCGCAGACTTTGACTGATCTTGAAGGGTGCTCCACATGTTGCTTGCGCATGGGAACAGATATTCACTATTACGGCTACTTACAGTATGCTATAGCATCATGATAGTAGGTTTTCTGGCATATTTATAGCAAAGACATATTCAAAAAGGGGACCTGTCGCCACCCGGAAGGTTGCGCTGTGGCATGCCGCAGTGACAGACGTTGGATTTGAGGTTCGAAGGGTTGGGCTTGCTATTCAAGATCAGAGCCCAGCGCCATCCAACACCGATGCATCCGGAGGCCTTCGAAGATCCATCCAACATCCTACTATAGGGGCCTTAATAATTAGCTAGATTTTTTTGGGGTTCCTTATTATCCTTACCAAAACCCTATTATAATAATTGAGGCCCCTATGTTATAGACCCTTATAGTAGCCCTTATAGTAGCCCCTTTAAAGGAACCCTGTACCCTATTCTAATAATTAAGACCCCTATGCTACGGCCTACGCTCAGGACCTCGATCCACGCGCAGATCGCTTGGCCATGGGCGGCCGGGTTTACCTCTCAGCTTGTCGTTGTCTGAGGGGCACAGGGCCGTTAGGGGAAGCACCAGCTACCCTAATCCCTGAACCCTAAGTCTGAGGGGCGCTGCCTTGTGGCTGTGTGTTGGCCGGAGACCCTGTCTTGTGAGCTTGGAACACTAGAGAACCCGACATGCAGTTTCAACACACTGCCTTGTCACATCAGTCTCTGGACCAAACATCCGAGATAGCGAAACAGCAGGCTGGGCAAGCTCTTCAGCTATCAAGCATAGCAGGGATAAGCGCGGAAAATGAAGCCGCGAGCTGGTTCTCTGCAGCGACACTTTGTGCATTGGGGTGTGTATGTAAGGATTTTGGGCTGCCTCGTGGTGAGGCTTGTAATACGGTAGTTGAGGGTTTTGTGGAGTGCCGTTTTTGCAGTATAGAGGGTGATGATTGTTGTGGAGTCACTATGCTACTATCCTCCGTATAGTCATGTTGGACCCCTAACAGTCAGAACCGCATAAAAGTGTGTCTATCAAGGTCCAAGCTAAAGGTTCAGGGTTTGGGTTGACGCCGGCAGAGAGGAGAAGCTACAGAAGCATGCCTGCAAGCCCCCACACACACACACACATACCGACATGTATATATATATATATATATATTCGTTTGTTACGACAAGTACAAGCAAGTGCAAGATCCTCTAGGTGGTTCAGCTGCAGTAACACACTTTGAAGCACACTCGTACACTTGAGCCTGGAACAAGCCCCCGACGACTTGAGGTGCTGAATGCCCCGACCGTGACTTCTTCGGAGAAGGCCTGCACCAGTTTTTCCAAAAAACACATGGCACACATACATACACACGCACATACACTGCATACATAAATTAAATACATGCTTACATACATGCATACATGCATACATACATACTTACTTACTGACTTATTCGAACTTACATATCTGCATACATACATACCTACATACCTACATACCTACATACCTACATACATATACATATACATATACATATACATTTACATTTACATATACATATACATATACATATACATATACATATACATGTACATGTACATATACATATACATGTACATATACACATACATGTACATGATGTACATGTACATGTACATGTACATATTCATATACATATACATATACATATACATATACATATACATATACATGTATATATAGATATGCATACATACGTATGTTACATACCTACGTACATACATTCAGACATACATACATACGTACGTACGTACATACATGTGTACACACGTGCATACGCACATACGTACATACGTACATACGTACTTACATACATACATACATACATACATATCTGCATATACATATGCATATACATATGCATATAACTCTCGAGGATACCATTCTTATAGTATGCAGGGTCTGTCATGGCAAGGCTGAATCAACACTGCTTCGGTATTCTGGGTTCTTGTTAAAGGGTTTAACTTAAGTTACCATAATAAGGATTTTTTATATAGGTTCCTGCTATGGTAACTTAAAAATTAAATCCCTTAACTCCTAAACCCTTATCGCACCCTTAAAGGAACCCTAAATTATGGTAACTTACGCTGAATCCCTTAGCAAGAACCCAGAGAACGGTATTCTCTGCTCGATGAGAGGTGTTGCGTGCTGGGCAGATTTGCGAGGCCCGTCTTTGCAAGCTCCTGTTTGAACCGGTGCAGTTGGGAGTTTCCAAAAATTAGGGCTACCTTTAAGGGTTCCTTTAAAGGGGTACTAGAAGGGTTCCTTTAAAGGGCTCCATAAGGGTCTAGAGTTTCCGAAAATTAGGGGTACCTTATTTTGGGGTCCTTATAATTTAAGGGATCCTACTATTGAGGGTACTCGATTAGGGTCCCCTATTTTCGGAAATCCCCAGTTGAAGGTGGGGAACGATGGCCTGCAGGGTCCAGGTCGACATAGAAAGGCTTTTCTGTTGACTTGCTGCCACGCTGCATGGCTCAGCAGCGACATGAAACAGAGAAAACATGTACGTGATAATGATGCCATGACGCCTGCTGCAGCCTTTATCCCCGCTTTGGCATCAGTGCAATTGCAGGTTTCGAGAGCGAGTTGTGCCCAAAAAAGGAGTCAGTACGACCTCAGGCACTCTCACGCAGCAAGACTCGAAGATTTGTCGAACCTTTGGCGAAACTTCAGCCGTCTTACCTGTCACGAATACTTTAGTGTGGACAAGCCAGCTTTGTACCTCACGAGCTGTGTGGTCCTGTGGCGCGATGAACAATGAGGTGGGGGCAGAGCTGAACAGGGCTGCAAGTGTGGGCTATTTGGGCTTGTCCAATCGAGTCGCGGGTTTGTCAGGTTGGTTGTGAGGCACGCAACCATTACCAAAAACAATCTGCAGGAGGTTGTTGCGCGCCCTGCTGGTGGCGCATGTCTTCTTGGGCGATGTCTCCAAGGCAGATGGCGAGGCCGCTTCTTCCTTTGCTGATCTGGACTCTTGTTCAGGAATAAATCTTACTTTTGCTACCAGAACAGGGTCCATAGTAAATGATACGGTTCCTTAATCTGGCAACTTACTGTAGATTAAAGTCGTAACAAGAGCCCAGTTATGTTGTTGTCAACTGAGCTGGTGGCACCGTGAATGCAGAAACAGCGGCCGCGGAGGAAAGCTGGCAGCACAAGAGCAGCACAGGCTACCAGGAACTAGCAAGACCACGATGCCTTAACCTCCGGGATTTCCGCACACGTTTTCGCACCAGGAAGAGAAGGACACCTCCTCAGATGTTATGGAAGTCATGGCCGGGCCCTTGTCTTTTCGGAGGTGAGGTGTCACGGTGGCATCACGATGACGACAACGATGCTGATGTTGATGTTGTTGTTGATGGTGAAGACGAGCACAACTGACCATGCTGTCGGCGGTCGACAACAACAACCATGATCATCATCATCACCATCATCACCATCACCATCATCGTCACCCCTAAACCCTGAAGCCCAAAGTGCTCATCATGCTCCTTGTGGCGGTCACCTTGATGCAAACCCCCAAACGGCTCGTAAGGAATCACAAGTAGCATAAGATCATCCTTGCGGCGGTGTCGGTGACCTTGAGGCCAAACCCCGAAGGGCTCGTCAGAATTAGAAAGCAATATACGATCATAACGCATATTGTAGAAAATCAATACTACGTGAGTGTACAATACATACGAATTTTATACATTTTATACATATAATATAACATGTCATAGAGAATAGATAATATATAATAGATAATATAATACAATATAATATAATATGTGCGTATATATACATGGTACTATGAGATAACAAAAGATCTGCGCTATAATTTATCATATACTAATAACAAGATATCACATAATATGATACACTACGACGTTGTAGAAGATATGTGATATGAGGGCCGCAGTAAACCCTAACTAAACCCCAAAGCCCTAAACCCTAAAACCCCGAAGCCCCTAAAACCCTGAACCCTGATATGAAGGGCCCCAAAGCCCTAAACCCTAAACCCTGCCAAGTAAATCCCTAAACCCTCAACCCCAAACCCTAATATGGTACCCTAAATAATAGGATCCTTATTATAAGGACCCCAAAATGAGGTATCAACCCCAAACCTGTTGGAAGCCCCGAGGCTTGGTGCAAAGGTGTCTTGCAAGGCCTGGACTGGCCAGCGGTCCGAGGCCTCAGATCTGTTTCAAGGGCTTCTAGGATGCCCAATAGTACCCTTATTCCCTTTTTGTAGTCCTAGGTTCCTTATAAAGTTACCCAATACCAAAAAGAGAGGCCTTTTTATTCTTAGGTTACTGGGTATCCTAGGCTTAGGGTTTAGTAAAACGTGTAAGTATGTATGTATGTATGTATGCATGTATAGTAGAATAGAAAAGACTGGAATAGAATAGAATGAAATAGAACCGAAAAGAATTGAATAGACAAGGACATTGTAGAAATTGTTCTACCGTAGCTTGATTTAATTGTAATCTAACCTGGTGCAAAGTGGTTTTCACAAGGGTTTTGTGCGTGTAGGTGTTGTGGGCGTGTTGTAAGGGGCTTCAGTATGGGTGTTCGGGGTCCGTACTTGGGGGTTTTGAGGGACTTTGGGTCTAGTAGGGTTTCGACTGTCGATTTGACAAGCTAGGTCAGCTAGGTTTCCGGGGTTCGGGGCGTAGGTTTTGGACGAGCTTCGGGTTGATAAGGTGTTCGGGTTCGAGGGGCCGAAAGGCCTCATGTGCAAAGTCGTTTCGCAGATTCCAGCGGCAGGAGTCCTCCCAAACCCAAAACCAGAAACCGCATCCGTCCGAAGCCTCAAAGCCTTAACCCTCAGCCGCTGCAGTCCGAGACCGAAAAGTTCATCGAATCTCTAAGACTGAAGACCTCCCAGATACCCCAACCCAAAGTCCCAGAGTCCGTCCTCGAAACGCTTCGAGTTTGGGACTTGAGCCCTCAATTCGGAGCCGCAGCTTGAGGTTCTCCGCCTGGCCAAGACGGAGTGCAACTTAGACGTGTGACACTCAAATCTGCTTGGTTCTGTTTGGTGGCGGGGGGATTTGGGATTAGTTGTTGGGCGCATGCTCCGGGCCCGCACCTCGAACCTCCAGGACCCCAGAGAAGTGCTCCTTTGGAAAGCGCCTCTGTCTCCACAGAAATAAGGTTTCGCAGAGGTTCCGGACCCTAAACCCTCAACCTAGGACAAGCCCCACGAAATCGTGCGGGGCTGCTCTGTGAGAAGTAAATTCCTTTAAGGACACATAATTACATACATACCTACAGGTATACATACATACATCCATACATACATCTACACATATATATATATATATATATATACATACACACACACACCTGTATTTATGAGCTGTCAACACCTACAAGCCCTGCAACTAAACCGGCAGAACATCCAGTTTCTCGATCCGAAAGGCCGGAGATGACGACCTGCTTCGCATCGGTGAGGGACCAAGCAGGAGTTCCGGGGTTTGTGAGGCTTGTAGTGTTTTATAATACACTACTGGAATTGGGCTTGTAGTGTTAAACCCTGAACTTGAAGCCGCAGGGAAAGTGAAGAGGGCGAAAGCCTGAACTAAATCGCAGCTGAGGCTGCACGGAGATGGGTCTCATATCCGCGGTCGATGGTCTCCGGGCAGTACTCGAGATCTCCCAGCTGCAGAAGTTAGTCGGGGCCTGAGGTTTACGCTTTCGGGGGTCACGAACCCTCGAATCCTAAATCCCCCAAGCAAAACCTTCAGTTTTCGCCCTTTGAGCTTATCCAGAGGGATGTACGCCCAACGGCGCCGCTGTAGCCAATGACGCGGGACTGGTCGTGGCATTGAGTTTGGCTGGCTTTCTGTGCCGCAGAAAGCAACATCGCAGATCCGTGTTTGTGTCCTCAGCGTCGGGCTGACATGAAGTAACGGCGACCTCAGGGTTTAATTTAGGTGCGTGGGCTCAGCTGGCCTGACCCCAGTGGTTCATTCGAGAAATCGTCCTGCTTGCAGCCCACACCTTTTGGGCTTCACCCTTAAACTAGTGAGACTGGTGGTTTCTTCTGAAACGACGATGGCTGAAACGACGATGGCAACTTACATCGAAGAGTCGGATCTAATCCTGATATGAGTTTTCAATAAGAAGCTTTATCAGTTTGATTGGGGTGCGGGGTATATCGTAGTACAGAGTCCCAAAGCAAGTCTTGCGTAGCTGAAGCACTCTTTGTGCTGCCGCTTGGAAGCACAAGCAAGAAGTGACTTAACAGAGACCGGCCCCCTACTTAAAGGTTCATGGGACTCAGTAACTGGGTTTATAACTATAATTACGGTAACTATACTTAAAATTAGTTGTAACCCCAGTTGAGCCCCGAAAAGCTGCATTCGCGCGAGGTCTGTCCGAACGGCCAGGTATTTCTTCTCGCAGTGGCAGCCTCAGAACACGCGCAGTTTTACCGGCAAAGCTGTGCTTGGCGACGCCGTTGCCGGCGGCCCTGGTTACAACCGTCAGAGTGCACGACATGAGAATGAATTTCTTCGCGATCGCCGGGTTCGTGTCTTGATCGTACGGCTCATGCATGACGAAGCCCAGGCGCAATCCGTATCTGCAGTCTGATGGGACTTCTCGGGGTCCTAATCGGTATGCTTTGTCATGTTGCTCCATCGAACAAGAAGTGTCTTGTCTTAGCTCAGAGGATACAGGAGGTGACACCTGAACAACCTTCAACCCTAACCCCAGCTGCAAGACCCTGAACCGCAAGGTGAGCTCCTTGTGCACTCAGGTTTCCTTAGCCTACGCACGGGAGCAGCTGACGCCGACAGAAGTGGCGAGAGCACAGGTGTCCAAGAAGTCCTTAATGCCTGCAACAGGAACCCCAAAAATCAAACATCTTGCAAGATAGACCACCTCATGTCATGTCCAAACCTCTGGGTTCGGGGGCCCTTTCAAGCGAGGGAAGCCTGTTGCATGTCGGGCGTGGGCTTTGACTTTAGGGAGTCCTGACCATTTTTGGCTTCGAGATGATCTCGTCACTAGGGCAGGATGCCCTACTGGGAGAAGCTAGGTTGACTTCCCTGCATTTTACAGAGCCAAGACAGAGGTAATATAGGGGGTTAAACAATTACCAATTCTGGGAGTTCCTTAATGTAATTACCGTATAACGGCCCCCCAAAACCTTGTTCTAATTATTAAGGCCCCTATACTATAGTGCCCTTATAGATCCCTTATAGTAACCCTTGTAGACCCCGTTAAAGGAAGGCCCCCACATTAACCCGGCTGCCAGGTCCTGCTCTGGCACGCTTTGCAGACCAACTTCATGCTGGATGCGAGCGCACGCCCGTCACGTGGGTTTTCCTGCTCAATAAATTTCGGGGTTCCTTATCATACTTAAAGTATAATGAGCCCCATAACCCTATTCTAATTTTAAGGCCCCTATTATGTCCATGCCGAGCTTTGCTTTCCGTGCCGTGGGCAGATGGTAATTTTCGGAAGTCCTAAACCTTTGTAGAGCTCTTTTAAAGGAACCCTTATAGTACCCTTACAGTAAACCTTTCAACGAACCCTTAAAGCTACCCCCTAATTTTCGGAAGCTCCCACATGACAGGTGTGGCCGGTCAAGACCCACGACGTGCCTTTGACAGCAGGGATCTTCACAGTCAGCTTCTTGGGTTTAGGGTTTACTTAAAGGATCATGGGACTTAGTAACTAGGGTTATAAATAAGGTAACCATACTTATAACCCCAATTAAGGTATTTATAACCTTACTTACTAAGTCCTATGATCCTCCAAGTAGGGCTTCTTGGGGTGAGTTGCTCCTGGTCCGACGACTTCAGCTGTGGTTCTATAGATGCAGCGGATGCGCAGCCCTTATCCATTTACTTCCGCCAAGCCACGAACCCAACCAACCGTAAAAGCCCTGCGATACCTTCACACAGTGGAGGTGCTGTACATGTTCGACCAGCTTCCCCCGCCGCTACGGCTGTCGGGTGGGAGCCCCGAAGGGGCCCAAACTCTATATTTGCAAGCCGTGCACCCTAAGGTAGAGGCCTTGATAATTAGAATAGGGTTTTGATGCCAGTATATTCTAAAATATAATAAGGACCCCCCCCCCCCCCAAAAAAAAAAAATAGTATTGGTAATTAAGCCATGCGCCCTACCGAAAGCCGAAGCCTGAAGCACTGCGACACCACATCCTGCACTGTCGAGGAAACCCGCACATAGGGAGTGTCCAGTGCTACCACTGGAGCCTCGTGATGTTTTTTGCTTTGAGACCCTAAACCCTGAACCCTAAACCCTAAACCCTAAACCCTAAACCTTAAACGCCACCCCAACTCTGAGGCCGCAGGTCCGGACATTACATCGAGCTTTTGGCTCTTGCCACTACAGGTGTCTGAGACTTTTTCTGTCCGTTGCAACTGTTAATGGACAAAATCCTGCATGACCCAAAGGACTCTAAACTATGGGAACTATGGTATATTCCTTATGAGTAATGCAGGATTTTGTCCATCAGCAGAAAGCAGCCATCAGGGCAGACCTCCGAAATTCGGGACATGACAGCAAAGCAGCAACGAAGTTAACATCTTGACCCCCAAGCCACGAAACACCCCTGACATCGTCACACCTAAACCCCTAGACATGCGTGAAATCCAGAACCCCGAACACAATCAAACACTTCAACATCCCGACAACCCTTTAAACACTCCTAATCTCCCGAAACCCTACGCCCGTGAACCCGGGTTTCCCCCCTACCCGGCCCTGCCACCCAAAAAACCAACCAGCCTTCGTGAGGCCAAGCGGCCACACCGCTTGAGGAGGCGGTGGGGGCCCAGACTTGCGGAGCAAAGTCGGGTTTAGGGCTTGGGGTGTTCCCTCTTTGCACACTCAAAACCCTTTCCTTCAAATGCTTGGGGTAACTCATGTCACTCGGGTTTGGAAGTAGGACGTAGGACTAAATCTGCGACCCACGCGACTCAACGCCATCGAGGGGAACACCAGCAAGCCCCAGAAGTGCAGAGCTTGAACCTGCTGTCCCACTCCCCATCGTCTCTCGGCGTCCCATTTGGGTAGTTCTCTAAATTAGGGTCCCTTTTTAGGTTCCCAATCGAGTACAGCACCTTTATAAAATGAACCCCCAAACAGGGACCCTATAAGAGAACTAGCTACCCATGCCCTAAACCCTAAGAACTAGCTACCCATACCCAAAACCCTAAACCCAACCCCCCCCACAAAGGGACTCTAATCTAGAGAACTAGCTACCCATACCCTAAACCCTGAACCCTGAACATCCCTAAACACCCCTAAACCCTAAACCCAACAAGGGATCCCAAGAGAACTACGGTTGATGGTATAAATCCTGCATGACCTTAAGGACCCAAAACTATGGGAATTATAGTATACTCCTTATTATGGGTCATGCAGGATTTATACCATCAACAGTAACTACCCATGTAGACTCGATGCCCCGGGGAGCCCAGGTTACCCTCGTGGTGCCCCGCTGCCCTCCAGAGCTGGTTTTGATCCTGAAGAAGCGTCGGGGCGCCTAAGTCCTGGTCGCTATAAAAGAGCATAGTATAGTATGACACAAAAACCATAAAAAGAATAGCATAACATTAAAAAACAAGCATAGTATAGTATGACACCCAAACCATGAAAAGGATAGCATAACATAACACCCAAACCATCTAAATATATAATAGTATCATATGTCCACCAAACTCTATATTTCGGCGTCGTCTGCTTCAGGGTCAGGACTTGGGGGCATATAGGGGTCTGAGTAATCAGAATCAGTAACAGTATCCCAGTATGTCCTGGTCTCTATATAAAGTCGAGCAGAATATGTCCCCCAAAGCCTATATCCAATTTTAGTCTGTATATAATGATAGTAAGTAGACTGACTGCTATACCCATTCCCGTTTTTCAGGCACTTACATTGCCGCCCCCTGAGTTCCAAGAAGCCTAGAACGGGATGACAGGAATTCGAAGTATTCACAGAGCTCAGATGCTCAGGAATCAAAACAAAGGCCCCATCAGCACAAACAACAACGGAAGAACAAGGCAGAGGTGGGGCAAGGGAAGGAACAGCTATGAGAAGGTTACAACTATATGAGCGGCCGTGAACCCTAAACCCTAAACCCTGGAACGTCCCCTCCACAAGCAACCACGCATGAGGCTTTCCAGGATTCCCAGCGACTGTCGGCGTCCTTGGCAAGGCTGGTTCAAGGTTTGGAGTTTAGGGGAGGTCTGTTCGACTTTGAAATTCGATTTCAGCGCTTGGGTTTGGGTCGTTGTTTGAAGGCTTCGGCGTTTGGGAATTCCGAGCGCGCTAACGGCGCTAAATTCAAACATCCTTAGCTACTCAAGCCATCATGAAGGCGAGGGGCCCTAGATTCTCGAAATTCATGATTTAGGCTTTCTTGGGTTAGTGGATTTAGGGAGTTGGCGCTTATGATTTCGAGCTTTGTTGGTTCTGATTTGTAGACCGCCACCACCACCAACAGTAACATCAAAAGCAACCGCAGCAGCAACAACAACAAGTACTACAACTACTACTACCGCCGACTACCACAACCACTGCCACTACTAATGCTACTCCTGATCTTCCTGCTGCTGCCACTCATGATACTACTTCCTCTGCTCTTGCTCCTCCTCTCCTCCTAGCACTACCAATTACTACCACCGCTACTGCTGCCACCGCCACCACCACCACCACCACCACCACCACCACCACCACCACCACCACCACCACCACCACCACCACCACCACCACCACCACCACCACCACCACCCCCACCACCACCACCACCACCACCACCACCACCACCACCACCACCACCACCACCACCACCACCACCACCACCACCACCACCACCACCACCACCACCACCACCACCACCACCACCACCACCACCACCACCACCACCACCACCACCTCTGCGACGACGACTACTGCTGCTGCTGCTGTTGCAACGGCACTGGCAGTGGGAGTGCTACGACTGCTACGACTGCTACGACTACTACGACTGCTACGACTGCTACGGCTACTACGACTGGACGACTGCCACGACTGCCGCCAACCGCGACGACCATGACCATCACGACAACCGCGCCTACCACGACCACGGCCACGACTACTACTGCCTCCATCATTGAATATTGCTCATTACGACGACGGCCGCTGGGACTAGCACTGGCACTGCGACTTCTCCTACTTAATGCAAACTACTTTCATTGCTGCGGCCACTGCCACCGACTTGAGAACCACGTCTCCCAGGTGGACGAGTCCGCGAAACTTCTGCCGGAGAGTTGGCAGGGCTTCGAGTCCGCGGATGTACGGGGCTTAGCCTGTGGTAGTGGCTCGCTGCCGACTTATACGAGTTTCTACGCAGTGCTACCTTGGTGATGAACCCACTTCTAGGACGAGCGTATGCCGGGCTTCATTGAAAACAGAGTCGGACACAGTAGTGACAGTAGCTTGGTGCCACAGACTATGCAGTCTCAACAGTTTCGGCTGTAGGAGTGCCATGTTAAACAGAACGAGATCAAAGCCGCCCGTGTCTGGATGGGACCCGGACCTTCAAGGCTGTCATATCTCCTGGAATTGCGTAACATCTGGCCCTGCCTTTGCTGGGCCTTTACATTATATGATGACATGTGCATGTAACTGTGTGTGTTGGTGTGTGTAGGTACCCCTGTATGTACGTATGTATGTATGTATGCACGTATGTATATATGCATATATGTGCATAGTATACATGTACATATACATATACATATATATATATATATATAGATATCTGCACACACAGACGGACACCTCCTCATATCTCTGATCAGTTTGCCAGCTGCACCAAACAAATTCTTCTAAGGGTGTTACATTAGTTCAGGGTCAGGATTACATAGGTCCGATTGACCACCAAAGCTTCCCGCTGTAGGTCTTGCGGGATTTGGGGGAGGGTGAGCATTAACAAACGCATGTCGTATGTATGTGTGTTTGTATATATACATACGGATATGGAGTTTTTTCTCTTATACATGTGTACCTATGCAAGCATGTACCTATGGGTGCATGTTTCTTTGTTCCATCCATGTCTCCACCCAGCCAGCCAGCCAGCTGCCATCCATGCGTCGATCCTTCCATCGATACTTCCATTGTCCATGCATCCATATTGTATTTAATGGTTTTCGCTGGCGGTTTTGTACCTTCCGATAATAGTCGCTTTGAGCCGGACTGTTTTTGCTTGGCAGGAGATGCCCACAGGGTGCACTTCTCAGACCAAGATCCTTTGATTCGTCGGGTTGACGGGCAGCATCTCGGGAGTTTGCAGGGAGAGTAGCTCGATGTTCACTGCTTTTCCTGCGTGATCCAGAGTCTTTCTACTGCTTGAACTTTTCTATGCCGACCTGCGAGCATGAGTTTCCCAATGCAGTTGTCTGGGGAGGGGTCTTGCGATCTTGAACCAAGTTCTGGAGAGCTCAGGCTTTAGGATTTCATGTTCGGAGCAGAGGCATGGTTTGACCTATATTCACCCTTGGTTTGACTTGTATCCATGTTGGAATCGCAGCATGGGGGTCCACGCAAGCCTCGCGTCCATCGCAAGCATTGTGCACTTCATCGCCAAGCGTGAGTCCCAAGAGAGCAACATGCCAGACATTGGCAACTGCAATGTAGCGTGACGTTGCAGTCCGACACTGCCGAAGAAGACCTTTGAAGGGGTGGAGAGCCGTGCAGCCGTTCCAAGGATGCTTTCTTATGGGGCTTCGTTTTCCGCCTACAGAATCAAGGCAGTAGCAATTCGGAAAGCAGTGGTCCTCCTCGTAGTAGCAGTTTTGGTGTTGGTGCCGGGCAACCTTGACCCCTGCATTGGAAGCCGTGAACCATCATGAATCGAGTGTTGTGGATTGCCCAATCGTCCAAGTTTCTCAGATGCCTTGAGCTCAGCATGAAGAGCTTGTTCCACTGCGAGATCGGGCCCAAATCGCTACTCATTACATTTGCACTTTCTTGGTCTTGCCGTGTCGAAAGTCTTGCGAGATCTCACAAGGCGCGTAAGATCTTGTTGGGAACATTTCCTTCAGAATGTCGGGCTGGTGCTACAAGCTTCCGGGTTGGGCTGTGCAAGCAGCGAAGCGGGAGTTGGTTTTGCTCGTTTTGTTTGACTGGTGTTGTCGTTCGAAGGGTTTCATGTCTCCTTGCCTTGATCTTTGCGGGGCGACGCGCTTTTTTCCGCACTCATTGAAATGATTCTTGCTATAGTCGTTCTGCTCGTTCTTATGGTTGCGATGAAGTTCTAGGCTTCAGTGCCTTGAATTCCACATCTCGAGCCCTGAGACTCTCAGCCCAGAGCATGTCTAAAGGCCCGGATGAACTTCAGGGAGAGTCCTGAGCTGAAGACTGTTTCGGTTTAGGGTTAGGGGTTTAGGGTTTAGGGGGGGTGTTGGATTGGGCCTAAGCGGCACTGAACTTTCGGCTTGTGAATAGTGGCGCCGCTGTGTCACCCGCCTTCTGTCCCCAACCCTCAGCTCGGAACCCTAAACCGTCAGCCTGCAGAGAACTCCTCTATACCCATGAACTCAGTTCAAGGAGTAGGTGTATAGCGCGAAAACGTGAGTGGACAGTTCAAGGTTCTCCTGTACAACCCAAGTTTTGGGCTTCAGAGTCTAGGTAATTTCAGAAGGGCTTTCAGAAGCTCCAAACCCGAAGACGCCAAACCCGAACCGGGAAAGCCCCAAACCCTAAACCGCAGAATGTCAGAATATGGGAGTTTCCGACAATAGGGGACCATATAGTACCCTAAATAGTAGGCTCCTAAATATATGAAGTTACCGGAAGGCCCATGGACCTTGACACCCGGAACCCCCTAAACCCCAAACCCCTAAACCCCTAAACCCCTAAACCCTAAACCCCGAAACCCCTAAACCCCTAAACCCTAAACCCCTAAACCCTAAACCCCCTAAACCCCTAAACCCCTAAACCCTAAACCCCCTAAACCCCTAAACCCTAAACCCTTAAACCCTAAACCCTAAACCCCTAAACCCCTAAACCCTAAACCCCTGAACCCTAAACCCCTAAACCCTAAGCCCTAAACCGATAGCAAAGCTCACGGGGAGGTTCTTGCCCTGACCTGGCTCCGAGGCCAGGGTGTTCTCTGCAAGCAGGGTTTTGGTCTTCGGGTTTGGGGTACCTATATTGTGGCTGGTATCTTTGTATATATATATATATGTATATATGTTGGTTGGCATCTTCTATATAATGTATATATATATATATACACACACATATACATGTATATTATACGTAAATGTTCTGTGCCGTAAAAGCAGCGGCAACTACAGTAGGAGTCGTGAAGTTGTCGGAGAGCAGCTGGGCAGTGACAGCAGCAACGGTCGTAATTTGGTCGGTCGTAATGAGCACGGTAACAACTAGTGGTTGCGGTGGTGGTGGTGGTGGCAGTGGTAGCAGTGGCAGTAGTATGTAGAAGGTAGTAGGTAGTAGGTCGTAGGTAGTAGGGAGTAGGAAGCAGGAAGTAGGTAGTAGGTAGTAGGCAGTAAGTAGTAGACAGTAGGCAGTAGGCAGTAGGCAGTAGTGGTAGTAGTAGTAGTAGTAGTAGTAGTAGTAGTAGTAGTAGTAGCAGCAGTATAGTAGTACCATCAGCAGCAGCAGTAGCAGTGGCAGTGGCAGCGGCAGCGGCAATGGCAGTAGCAGTAGCAGTACTAGCTGTTGTAGTACGATGGCGGTCCTCGCGTTCCCCACGAGTTTCCAGTGCCCGTCTGACATCGCCGTTGGGTTAAGGCTGCCTTCAAACTGGAGTGCACCTGGCTACGGTTGTCTTTGGTTTCTCAGGGCTGAATAACGTGGAGCTGTTGAGTGCTGCGAGCTGTGTTGTTTGGCGTTATTGCTGGTGCTTGTATGTGGAGCTGCAAAAGCTGTGAGGCTGCATTTATTCGGAACCTCGTTCTCAAGTTTGAGTGAAATCTTTTTCGGTTAGGGCTTCACGTTTCAAACGTAGGTTGTTCAGGGCTACGGCTTTGCGTTAGGTTATATGCTGTAGCGTTGGAGGGTCTTGCGCACAACCTGATGCAGAGCAACTTACATCAATAGTAGGTATAGAAGCACCTCTCAGTGGCCGGTTATCGTATGAACTGGCTACAGCAGTGGTTCGGTGTGTGTGTGTGTGTGTGTGCGCACATCTGGGGTCCTTGGATCCCATGCAGTAGATTAGGGTGGCGTAAACATCTAATCTCCATTGGCTGCTCTGAGAGATAGTCCAATCACCAGCCGCCTTCCGTCAGCTCACATACCCGAAACCCTAAACCCTAAACCCCAAGGCCCCTGAACCCCTAAACCCCTTAACTCCTAAACCCTAAACCTCGAAACTGAGAGCCTTGAGCCTTGAAGTTCCGAAGCTGATCGTCGCAGGCTTTGATGCCGGCTGCGTTGGCGCACATCCAGCACATCCAAGACCAAATGACAGATTTAAGCACCTTGGACCCCTCTACTTAGGGGTACTTAGAAATAATTTCTTAATTTTTGATTATTATAATCCCTAAGAGAGAGCTATAATTTTTGATAGGTTTCTAAGTTCAGTATAGTCTACAGGGCAGCATTGCAGGCCGCAGCTTTCTTGCAAAACACTTCTCCGGGTTTAGGAGTTTAGGGGCTTGAAGTCTGAGAGACGTCATCCTTGCCTGAAAGGGAAGCTCGGGTTTCGAGCACCCTTCTCAAATATTGATGTTGATGTGATGTGCTGGCCGGAAACGCGCTGTGTTCCAAGGTACAGAGTCAGACGATTTCAAGCTGACAGCCGCATGGCGGCAAAGCCATGCGCATGCAATCGAAGTGGAAGAGTACCTTATGTCATATTGCGGAGCCCTAAACCTACTATATAATCCCTCCCGTAATAGAAGGCACGGTGGGGGATTTTGCGGTTCCGGGCCCAAAATAACAACGAAGACTGTAATCAATTTAGCAAGGCCACTGCCACGGTTGATGATTTAAATCCTGCATTGCCCAGTCGAGGGTCCTTAAGGTAATGCAGGATGTATATCATCAACCGTATCGATAGCACCGATTGCTACTGCGAACCAGGGGGAGGAGTGGTGGCTCGGGGTATCACTGGCCACGACGGTGTGGGTAATACTAGTGCTCTTGTTTCTCTTTGCATACTAAGACTTGGGGCTCAGTGTATAGGGTTTGGGAATTTTGGGACTAATTCAGACTAGTAGCAACGCTAGTACAAACGCTGGCAGGGAGCATGGAAAGCTTTCTCACGACTGCGGGAACTGCAGGCTGCAGAGACCGCAGGAACGTGCGACTACATGAGGGTGAAATGCTGATTGCAAGAGCCCCAATAACATAGGACTGCAAGGACTGCAGAGAACAGAAGCTCCAGATGCTGCACGGGCCGCAAGAACCTACAACTTCAGAAAGCCCATCCGGCAGAACCCAAGCCCCGGTCTGAAGAATGAGTTCCGGTCCGAAATCGTGGGACGGGCAGGGAGCCCTGCCCTATAATGGGGCTTTCTAATGGGTATATAATAGCCATATTAAGGGTATATACCTAGGGGTCCTTATTAAGGGTGGCAGGGAGCGGTTAAACAACACGGAAACGAGATTGAAGCTCAAGATATTGCTATCATCTTTCGGGGTGGTTGAGGGTTTCGGGTTCAGGGTCGAGGGAGTACTGTAGGGCTTTTTAGGGCTTGGGGAGTTTCATGCCCGGACCTGAACCTTGCATCTCATATTCTGACCTGCATCCTAGTTTTGGCTAGAGGGGTCTGAGAATACACTTTGAGCTGTCGCTAAAGGGGCCTTTGCAATCAGAATCGAGCTTTTGGGTACATTATTTCATGAGGAACCCCAACTAGTATTGGTAATGAATTCGGCCCCTATATTACCGCACCTCCTTCCTGTCGCAAAAGTCATGGCTTCTCAAAGGTGCGCAATACATTCATTGACGCTGCTCAGCTGCAAGGAAGGTGAAGGTGTGGCTGAGTCTATGATTCGTTGCGCAGGCAGTCTTAGACCTAAGTTTATCTCATAAATCTGTGTAAGCTTGGTATCAAGAGACAGACATACCTCGTTGTTGCATGTTCCCAGATTTTTTTGATCTGTCCCAGACATAACGAGCAGGGCCAACATTGACTTTGATCCTCTATTTTGTTGAAAGCGTCACCCCACCTGACAGTGTACCCGTTGTTCGCATGATACCTGTTGAGACTTAATGCGGACACATTGCCGATGACTTCAACAGGCAAGTCT